TACGTCCAGTTGAAGTGGCTTCCGAGGTGAAAACACCTACTGATCAGCACGAGGATAGGAAGAAAGTGTTAAACTTAACATAAATGCCGTTCAATCCCGAAACAATCGCGTTCTTGAAAAAAGGACTCAATTTTTTAATTCAAGATCACAGAAGCATTCTAGGAGACATCCTATTGAAGTTTATCAATATCGCCGCCAAGTTTCCTGAGGAGACAAAACGGGAAATTGAGATGAAAATAATTCCAAAGATCTTGACACATTAGGAGCCTATACACAGGAATAGATTTGCCGTGATACACAAAACCTTCGAAACGAATCAACAATTCGTCCTTCAGGCGGAACGGTAACAGCTCCCCTTCCTCTACTTCCATCGTGAATTGAATTTTTTCATCAATCTGGCTATCCAACACGGTGAAACATTCATATTAATTTTCTCAAAAAATAAAAAACATGGTACTGGAAGAAACGCACTTATTCGTAAGTTTTGATGTGGAATCCGTGTATACAAATATCTCTGGAGGAAATGCGCTAACAGCACTGCTGGAAATCCTGAAGCGAGAGGAGGATATCCTGGAATCACAACGGATCGGTAGGGAGACTTTAATAAGACTAATCAACTTGACAATAAGGACAACCTATTTTACATTCAACGGGGCCATCTATGAACAAATATTTGGACTTCCCATGGGATCGCCGCTCTCACCACTTTTGGCCGACATATACAAAATATAAGAGAGCTTCAAGGTCGCACCGCTACAACCGGTAGTGCTCATGCGGTAGCTGTTTGATTACTTCGCACTTTGGTCACACGGAAGAGAAAAACTGGAAGCGTGTCTGAAATTTGTAGAGCATATTGATGAAAAAATTCAATTCACGATGGAAGTAGAAGAAGCTGAGCGGTTACCGTTTCTGGACGTTGAAGCGATTCGTTCTAATGGGACGCTCAAAAAGAAATTGTACAGAAAGAAGTCATGTGCGGGTATAATACTCAATTTCCGGTCCCATCACAATTACAGGCTTAAGATTGACATAATGAGGAGCATGATCATCCGAAGCCTACGATTAACGGATGTAGAATTTTGGGACGAGGAGCTGGACAAATTGACGGGGATATTGCTAGGCAATGGCTACTCTTGCGAAATGATACAAAGAAATATACGCGCCGTGAAAAGCCTAAGGCAGAAAGGGGACCATGAAATAACAGTAAGGACGATGAAAAAATCACAAAAGTTGATATGCCTACCTTCCTGCGAACTAACTCAAAAACTACGTGTAATATTGAGTAAATGGAATATTCAGGTGGCCATGAAAGAGAAATCAACACTTTTCACAAGTCTACCAGTGCAACATGAAAGAGTAGACAAATTAGATTTTGTTCATGACTTTACTGTAAATATCATGCGGCGCGTGCAAACAGAAATATAATGGCCAAACGGGGAGAAAATTTAGCATACGAATCAAGGAACAACAGAGGCTCTGCAGGAAAATGGGTACCGATATCGCACAGACTGGACACGAGATTAATTGGAAGGCAACAGAAAGAAGAGCCCCATACGGTGACAACACAAGGAAGCGGAAGATTATGAAGGCCATTGATATCCTTGGGGAGAAAATCTAATGAACAGCAGATTGGAGGAAGGTAAAGTTAGCGATAACTTTGCTTACTGCTTAAAAATTTGGGGGGAAAAAGAATAGAGCAACACCAGCAAGCAGGAGACGCCTGGATCAAGGATCTACAGCTAACCGGATAAAAATAGATCACGATGGAGAAAGTGGAGGGAAGGGGTTTTGGCAATAAAGCGAAGACGTTGTCAATGATGTCCATTTCGAATAAAACAGTACAAATTTGGGGGCTGGCAGTCAGGGAGCTGGGCAGACGGATAAGCAAACCGTCACGGAAATTCGGCGTTATGGCCAAAATGTACTAGAAATCCACTTTAAATCCGCGTCTGACCAGAGCTAGGCGTCCACAGTTTGCTCAGATAACATGAGTTTAATCAAGAAGACGATACGTGTAGGAAATGCCTGAGATCTGCAAGCATGGCAACCAGAGCTTAGGCGCTCTGCTCAGTGAAGCGGCAGTGTACGTCTTTCTAGGGCCTTGATAAATAGCGCCTGGAGTAAAATGCACACAGGACTTGGAACCGAGCGAAATCGGTCAACCAGAAAGATAATGAACAGATCCACAAGACAATGTAGGGATCCGAATTGGAGGCCAGAGTCAGATCAGCAGATCGAAAGAGAGAGGTCGGTGTAACTAGTAAGTGCGATGAGACCACATTAGATTTGCCACAAAAGGGCACATTTTGACGAGTGGAATGTAAACAAACGAGAAGTTGTGATAAGGCGGGAGTTGAATGAGAGGGGAAAGGGTTGATAGATGGTCCAGGACAGAAGGAGGAGTGATGGTGTAACCATTTTCGGTAGAACATTGGTTGAGGGATTTACTTCACTTGTCTCTTTGATGAGTTCTTAGCTCGGTGCGGAGAATGCAAATACTCACTAATGCGCGGGCGGAATGTTAGAGAATGTACCAAGTCCATGGTCTGATGTTGGGAATTACGATTACTACCATAGCAGACGACTTGGGACGAAGTGCATTCTACTAAGTCGCCTTGACAACAAGACCAAGTTGCGACAACGCGGTGAACCCTATTCTATTATAAATAGCCCACTCTTCTAAGGAATCATCAAAACATACCTGTGGAGTATGATAAATAGACTAGAGCAGCTTAAGAATCCGCATTTCCTACCTGACTCATTAAGCCTAGGTTAGTAGAATCAACCGGTTGAGTAATACTCAAAAGGCCTGATTGCCCGGTCATCACACCAAGTAGGCCACTTTGCATACCCGTAAGGCCCTCAGGTTCCAGTTGGCGTCGAAGAGTGTCTAAATGGGCACGACGTTGTTGTATCGTCCTGACAAGAATAGAGGGACAAAGCAGTGAAATGCAACAACAGATTGAAAGGTAATGAGAAGGATTTGTAAACACTTTGAGATTAAAACATGAATCTGAGGTTAGTGAAGATGACACTAAATATTGTCAAGTTTACCAAAATCAAGAAGTAAAATGTTTTAAAGGTTAAAAATATTTTGAGAAAAAAAAGTGAAAATGAATATCAAAAAATTATGCTTGACTAGGTATGTCAACTGCTCCAGCCAGTTGAGTCAAATTTACAGGAAGTAATAAAATCTTGAAATGCAGGAAAATACAGAATTAGGTGAAGCAAGTTACCAAAATGATTTTAGAAAATATGAAACTCAGAGACAAAAAAATCGATGTTAGTACGATGGCACGAAAGTGGTACTAAGAATAATATACTTTTCCTTGTATATAGTATCCAAAGAGGCAATAAGTTTAACAAAGAGAGGACTGAAACTGCCTAAGAGCACTAGACAATAGGTTTATGAAAGACTAGTTTTTGGCGTTAATGATGCATGTCAAATAAAAGAGGAAAAGTCAGTCATCGAAGTAGTGGCTGTTTTAGACGTAACAAAATCCATAAAATTTTTAATAAACGAATACCTGTCTAAGTCATCCGCAAGAGTCAAATGATTAAGAAATTAGAAAAATTTTATCGCATCTCAGGCTGGTTTCGCATTAAATTTAAAGTTTAAGTTAATAGGCTAGAAAAAGGCTTATATTCCCTTTAGCTGTATAATGATAATGTATGACCAAATACAAACAGATAAATCGTATGAAAATAGCCCCAACATATTAATATAAAGCCCTTTAATAAAAATTACAAACAGCCCCTGGAGCCAAACTCACTTGTGAGTAAAGGTGTCTTTGCAGCGAATGCCAAGACTAAGCTTGAGAAACTCTACGCGATCAGCCGGAGCTTGACTGGAATGTTTTGCCATCACTTTGATTGTGGGTATCCTGAAAAGTTAAAATAAGTAAATTTGAAGCCAAAATTGTGTAAAGAGAAAAGGCTAAACAAATGAAGTATAGAAAAGTGCCAGAATGTATCTGGCATAATTGCTAAACTGAAGATGTGTATAGTAATTATAAGTCTGTAGATGATGACAGCCTATAGCATTGTTTTTTTAATCTTCCAACTAAGACGTGGACTGTTTTGCACTCTATAACTCCAAATTTGGAGGTCCCGAAGCGAAAAGGGAAAAGGAAAAATAGTATTTGGAAACGGATGAATACTGTATGGGGGACTGAAAATGGAAAGACAATCATTAAAAGGTGGCGCGAAATGCCAAAGTCTGAACTCCGCGGGTCACAGCAGAGGGGAGGAAGAAAACTTAACCAATCCAAACAGGATTTTAGCTACGTGATATACTCATGTGTAATTTTCAATGTTAACTTCTGATTAGACAATGAGGTACTAAGCTTTGAATGGTTGACGCGAAATAAAGAATGAAGATTAGTCAGAAACTCACGTGATCCCTGTGTCTAAGGTTGTCAAGCCATAGCTACGTAACAAAACTAAACATTGAATGGAAAAAGTGTATGGAGGGGCCACTACAGCTTCAGTTAAAAATTAGCTAGCACACAAAATATGTGACTTCCCTAGCAATAAAGTAGATTAGGTAGGAAATGCTTAATGGAAATGACCAAGTGTTATGACTATTCTTATGAGAATGACCCCAGAGAAAAGTAAAGAGTAGTTCCCTGACAAGGCAAAAGCCCACATTAATCATATAAAAAGCCAAGTTGTATCATTTATGT